TGAGAAAATTTGGGGGAAGGAAAAGGGAGGGAATACGTTCGTTTCCAGTGGAAGGAGTGAAAATGTAGGGATTTAGAATAAAGCTACGATGAGCGTGCAAAGAACGCGTCCTTGGTGAGCGTGCTGGTCACAAACCAATTAGAGGAGGGGTTGTCGTGGTAAGATGGGCCGTGCGTGTCGTGATATTGCACGTGATTTTTATTTTTTTTTTCTTTTCTTATCCAATTTTATACATTTTTTTATTTTTATTTTTATTTTTGGGAATACATTTTTAAATTCACGTCCCTATGATAAAAAATTTCCATACTACTAAGGAGCTGTTTTGTTTGGTGTTGATTAAAATAAGATTTTTAGTAAATTTTGATAAAAATTGATAAAATGTATTGTTGAAAAGTTGTGAATCCCATAAAATATATAGTTAAAATTAATTGTTGAATTTGACTTGTAATTTTAATCAGAAACAAACAGGGGCTAATTCTTGAAAACAAAAATTACTTTTTTATTTTTTTATTTATTTTCAAAAAGTACATTAAAATTAAACTGATAAGATTTTGAGAAATGCTATCCCTACAAGAGAGAATTTAATCAGGATCTGTGCAAATGACTCTGGCCAAATAGCATTTCTCATTATCTAAGATTTTTAAGGCTCACATAGTTGTGTCAAACCTAATGCTAATCACATAAATTGGTTAAAAAAAAATTAACTATTCGTTTGAGCCACATTATTTTTCTTATAATGCATTTTTGAATAGTGCATCGATGAGAAATGTGTGATTAAAAATAAACAAAAGTTTTGAATTTGCGTTTAAGATTCTTTTATTGAAGAATGTGTGATTGAAATAATGTCAAATCACTGTTTAATAATGTATTTTTTTGAAAAAATGTGGCTCAAACATGGCCTAAATGTACAAAATTATTTGTATGCCTCCATTGGTTGTGTCCTTAAAAAGTTAGGATACTCAATCAAAGATAAATATTATTTTCTGTCGATAATTAGCACAAAATGTCCTATCGTTTGCACTCATTATGCAAATTATCCCTATCATTTGAAATTTGGCCATTACACCCTCATTTCAATCTTTTTTCTTGTAGATTTGGTCCTTTCTATTTCATTCGAACAGTTCCTTTAGTTAAATATGAGTAATTGATGCAAAATATTCTTATCATTTGTCTTTAATATGGAGAATGTCCCTATCATTTGCATTTGTTACGCAAAAGGTCTTTATCGTCTATTTTCTCCATTAAAGCATTGTAAAATCACTATTTTACCTTTATTTTAAAATAAATAAGTAAATAATCGCAACGGAGTCTCAAGTTTTTAAAAAAAAAAAAAATTGAGTCTCGCTTAAAACAATTTAAAACATACTAACAAGAAAAAAATATTTCATCTTCCCAATTAACCTCACCTAACCCTAACCTTGTCCGTATCATCTATCCTCTACACTTTACCCAGTGTTTTAAAAGGCGTAACATATGGTGATGCGTGAAGGTGAAACTACGGGTTAGGCGAGGCATAGGCGTAAAAAAATGTAAAAAAAGTTTTGTTATTTTAATATTATTTTTATTTTTAATCAATCAAAAGTCATTTAATAATTAAAATTAATACCTACCAAACATCTAAAACAGATTTATAGTAACTTCATACAATTTTTCAAAATTTTCAATAAAAAGATAAATTTCAAATGTAAATACTAAATAACTAGGAATTTTGTAGAGTTTTCCTTTGTTTAATGCTTTAACGGCTGTTTTGAATTTAGAGCAGATGAAATGAATAAATAAACTTTTAAATTTTAACTTAAAATAATTGTAAAAGAAGAAGAAGATAATAATCACATCTAGTCGCGCATTAGCCGTTGACCGGTAAATAAGGCACCCCCGCGCATCACGCTTAGGCATCGCCTAGACACGCCTTTTAAAACATTGCCTCCACCACTAACACTATCAAAATAATTAAAAATAGAATTAAAACTATAAAAAAAATAGGAAAACAAAAAATATATTAAAAAACAAAAATGTTTTTTCTCCCCTATCCAATTCTGCATCCCTACCACCGGCCAACACCACCCATTCTCACCATTCCATCGCGGCACCGTCAAAAAAATTAGCTATTTTCTTGTAATCAAGATGGATTTTTTTCTTCAATTAGTAGATTTCTCCAAGATATTAATCCAATTATCGATCCTAACTATTCTAATTCAAACCTAGTTATGAGGAAAAGAAATTTTTTAGTTAAAATGATTTAAATATTTTAAGAGAAACTCGTTCTCACAAGTTGAACATTTTAGGACATTGACTACAATTATTTACTTCTTTTCTATTTGTTTAGTTAAAGATGGAACTAGAATAATTATTTTATAATACATTGAAGGAAAAAAAATAGACTATAAGAACTTTTTGCACGATGAAAACAAATAATATGAACATTTTAGGCAATGAAGGCAAATCCTAGTGACGTTTTGCACCAATTACCCATATTCTATGGAAGGAACGAGATGGAAAGGACCAACTCTATAAGAAAATATTTAAATGCGAGTGTAATTGTCAAGTTTGAAACGATAGGGACAATTTGCGCAATGGATGCAAACAATGAGATGTTTTGTGCTAATTGCCCTACTTTCAATCACTCATTTATTGATTATTCATACATTTTGTGAAACTCGCCATTATTCCTCTGAATATGTAATTAATAATTTTAGACAAACAATTTATTTATTCTCTAACATATAGAAAAGGAATAACCTAATGTGTGAGCTTCCATTCTAATTCTTAGACAATTGATTTGCCGTGTTAACGATTTGACGACACTAAACACTTGCAGGATAAATGTTAAATAGTATAGCTCCTATAAATAGAATGTGCTGGTCTACGTGAATGAGTAGGGATTCGATATCACAAATATCGTAACATTAGAGATGACATTTGACATTTTGTAATCTACTATATGATTAGAGTGATTATACTAAACAGGTATAGCAGTGTTAATTTTTTCTAATGAAGTTCATCTCCAGTCTCGTGGCAGTGATACCAATGCAACAGCGTAAGGACCAGAGACTGGTCTCTGGAGATGAACTCCATAAAGATAAATAGAATTACTTTTATTTTTAACACTAGTTTAGTTGAAAATATGTGTAGCATAAACATGATAAATTCATTTACATGCAATGATATATATCATATTTAATTGGATTATCTTGTATTGTCAACTAGATGGGTGTTTAACATCTTAAGGCTTATGTTCGCTAAAATACTAACGCAAGTGCACGGATAGCGTTCAAGTAATAAAGTG